ATTAGGATGTAAAGTCTATGTCTGTATGTGTTTTTTCGATTGATCACAATTTTTTTTTTGTCCAGTGATCATCATCATCATCATCATCATCATCATCGGTAATCATGGATAGAAATGATTATTTATTTTTTTGATCTCTCTCGGTTTCAGAGAGATCGATTATCGATTGATTGAACAATCGATTTTTTTTTCTTTTGAAATTGTTAATGTTTTTTTTTTATCTTCCTCATTGATTTGTTTTTTGTTTTGATTTACATTGCTATTAATTTAATCTAGATATATTTATATATCTATGCTGTCTATGTGGATTCATTCGATTAATCAATGGATCAATCAATTTTTTTTCTTCTTTCGATATATTTGATGATGATCACTATAAAAATATGGACGAAAAAAAAAAAATTACTAAAAATCCAGCACTTTTTTTCCATTTGGATTTCATTTTTCCATATCTTGGGTTTTATCGTCTGATGAACAAAACAAAACTATAACCAATTTCAACGACAACATCATCATTATAAAAAAGATGGGAAAAAAAACTAACGTGATCAAACAAACATAAATGGCCTCTACATTTGATGGATCTTGATATTTTTTTTTTGATTTATTCAAGCACAAAAAAAACTTATCTCATCATCATCATGATTATCATCATCATTGATGAGATAATATCAGGGTTAATTAAAGATGGAACAAAATGCCGTTTGGGGTTATATAATTTTTTTTTCATATTTTTTGATTTTTATCTCTCTCTCTCTCTTTGTTTGTTTTCATTATTATTATTCACTCATAGACAACAACAACATCTATTATCGATTTTTATTTTTAGTAGATCTTTATTTTTGAAACAAACAAACAAACAAACAAACAAAAAAATCAAACCTTTTTGAAGAGAAAGTTGTTATTATTATTGGTTGTTTTTTCATTATTTTGTTGTTGTTTAGTTTTCATTTTATTTGGATTATTATTATGATTTTGATATAAATTATTATTATTATCATTGCCATTTTGATCACCATCTCTATCATCATCATCATGATCATTATGATTGATTGATATTTTTTGATTTTTACCAAATATAGTTGCCAACATTATTGTTGAATTTGTTGTTGTTGTTGTTGTTGATGATGATGATGATGTTTTGGATGCACCACGAATAGTACCATTTGATGCCAATATTTTTCCATTCTTTGTACTAGTCAATATATGATAAAATGATTTTGATCTTGGCAATGGTACTGGTAAACGAATACCATTTGGTTTTACAGTTTGTTTATCATTTCCATTTGTAAGTGTTTCATTTTCAAATATTTTCTGCTGCTGCTGATTAGTAGGATGATTATTGCTGTTATTACTGTTTTGATTATAATCATCATATTGATAATTAAAATGGTCATTTTGATGTTGATGATGCAAATGATGTGATTGATGATTACCATTTGGATTTTTTCTTTGACCATTATAACATGATAACATAAATGATGATGATGCGGATATTTTAGTTGGGCCAAATAATTTTGCTGAATTCAATATATTGGATGGATGGCCATTGATTTTAACAACAGGTGGTGATGATGATGATGAAGTTGTTGATGCTGATGTTGATGATGATGATGGCGGCGGTGGTGGTGATAACGATGGTCGATCATAACTTGATGTTGATGACAATAATGAAGATGGTGATGATAATGTTGATGAAGAAGAAGAAGATGATGGTGATGGATCAGAAACATTGTGACAATTTTTACCACCATTATTTTTATCAATATTTTCATTATTTACATATGTAATTGAACGATTAGAATTTAGATTTTGATTAAATAATGCTGCTGCTGCTGCTGATGATGATGATGATGATGTTGTATATGGATTAATTAATTCAAATGACGAAATTGTATGTGCACCATCATCATCACAATCATCATAATCATCATCATCATCAACAGTTTGATTCATCATACTATCATCATCATCCGAATCTTGTATGATTATGGATGCATTTTTACAATTTTGTATTTTAGTCAATATAAATTGCCGTTTTTGTTGCCTTTGTTGATGATGAAATTCATTCAATGTTGGCCATATATATTGTTTTTGGCCATTATTTGTATCATTATCATCATCATCATTATTAATAAATGATGATGATGTAGATATTGTTTTTGCTGTTGCTGTTGCTGCTGCTGCAGCTGCTGTTGTTGTTGTTGTTGTGGCAGAAATGGTTGAATCATTCATTATTAACGATTGATATCTATGACGTTCTTCATTATTTTTGGATGAAGAATTTTTTTTCATACCATTATTATTCATATGGCCAATATTTTTGATATTTGAAACACTTCCGCAACCACCACCACCCACCACTACCATGATTATTTATGATATGGCTTTGTATTGATTCAATTGATGAACTAGTTGTATTACCCATTGTGTTGTTTATTATTATTATTACAAATTAGTTTATTGTCTGTTTGTTCATGTTTTTGTCGTCGTCGTTGTTGTTGTTGTTGTTGTTGTCGTCGTTGTTGTTGTTTTTTACACGATTATCGATCACACATTTTAATGATGAAACAAAACAAAAAAATGTATCAATTCATGGATTATCGATGATTAAATGCACGAAATTTTTAAACTTATTGAATCTGAAAAGAAATTGGAAAGAAAAAATTTTTCAATATTTTTTTTCCACATGCACAATGCACACACCGGATTTTCTGACATGTATGATTGCGATATAAAAACATGAATGACTTTTAATGATGATGATTGTTGTTTTTTTTTTACCGCGGACATGAATTATCTCTCTCTCTCTCTCTCTCTCCTTCCTCCTCTATCACTCAATATCTCTATATCTTTCTTCATCATTTTTTTTCTCTGTTTCTCACTATTTTTTCTTGTTCTCACATTTTCTAACATTAGAAATCTCAATGTTTTCGACTCACTTGAACTCTTTAAAATTTTTTTTTTGTTTGTTGATTGTCATGCTCTCCGCTTTTGACGATTGTCTAGATGATTTGACCCGAACGGTCAAATTAAACGAACGAATGAATTGACTCTTATGATGATGATAATGATGATTATTGTTGTTGTTTTCGGTTGTTTTCGGTTGTCCGGACTATAGACCAATTGGTTTTCGGTTTAAAGTTTTTTTTTCTTTTACAAATATAAGAGAAAGAATCTCTAACATGTTAAGATGAAATATAAAAGAAAAGAAAAAGAGAAATCATAAAACCGAGAAGCAAACAAATAAAAACCCTTTGGCGGCAACAAGAAAAAAAAATTGTTGGTTACCATGATCATCGTGATGATGATTATGATGATGATGATGATGATGATAGACAGACACGAATATCGATTGATCTGGATGTGATTATATTACCGGTTATTATTATCATCATTATCGTTATTGTTGTTGTTGCTGCTGCTGCTGTTGCTGTTCGTTGAATGACTTTTGACATTTGATCAAAAAAAAAAAAAAAAAAAATTTTACTTCAATTTCAATCATCCACTTTATCGATCAATCGATAAGTTCAGTAAAAAAACAAAATCTACTCTTTTATTCATACACATTGACCATCTATCATTGTTTATGATTGAATGAATGAACATGATATATGTGATCTTGTATATCTACAAATAGATTGTCATGATAAAGTGGTGAAAAAAAAATATCTCAGAATAAAGTATTCCATCAAGGTTGATATATATATATATATATATGGATATGATGATTTTATTGAATTGACAATGTATGACAATTGAATATTTTTTTTCATTTATAAATTTCAAAAATATCCAATGGAAACAATCATGTATACAGAAAAAAAATATTCAGTGTTTAGAAAAAAAAAATAATAATAAAGCGATTTATTCAAGCGATTCAATTCAATTTTTTTGTATTTGTTTGTTTGTTTACGCTTTATGAATCTGGATCAAACTGTCCAATTTCCTGTGCCATTCATTCATAATGATCTTTAATCTATTCATATGAATATAATGATCAGCTGGATTAGACAATGTTGACAATGTGGTTGTTGAAGTGAATTCATTCGATTTTTCATCCATATCCATAATGAATTGATTTGAATGTTGTACAATTCTATCGATAATGGTGTTGATTTCACCAATTATGTTGGTTAATGATTGACAAATTGTTTGTATATTTTCATCAACGTCATCAAAATGATTATTGATAGGATCATCATCATTGAATATATCAAACAAAATTTTCAATTGATTATTTATATCATCATTAAGTTTTTCAAATTTCTGATGATCAAAATACGATGATGATTGTGGTAATAAATCTGGTTTTTGAATCAAATTATTCACATTGATATATTTAATGAATTTTTCAACATTTTCAATTGATTTTTTAATTTTTTCAATAATTTTCAGTTGATTTTCATGAAAATCACCACCACCATCATCATGATTGTCTTTGATAATTGATTTGAAAAATTGATTATTATCATTCAATTGTATTCTTAAAAGAATGTTTTGAATTTTCAAATCATTTTTTCGACATTTACGCTGCAAATATGACAATAAATGATTTAAAAGCAATGGATTTTTAATCAATACTCGTTCCAATTGTGATTGACCAATATCCATTTTAAATTCTGATTTAGCCCATTCGATTATATTTGCAATCACATTGTCATCATTGGATTTTGCTTGATTAAATTTGGACATTTGTTTTTTTTTCTCGTTCTTCGTGATCAATCCAAACACATGGAAAAAAAATTCATTTATTAATCAAAATTTTATTTGATGATCAACAACAACGCAAATAAAGCAATAAATGATGATGATGATGATGATGATAATAATCATTCATCATGGTATTAGTAATGGGCAAACATGTTTGTGTGTGTGTGTTTAATATATTAAAGAAAAAAAAATAAACAGGAAACGTCAACAACAAACGTGATAACATTTCATATAGATATAATTATCAGATATATATTATATATATCGATGATGATTTCTTTTTTCAATGTTTTTTTTGCAGGTGAAGACTTTTGTTTTTTTTTCATTTGTGAATGCGAATAATATAAATAAATATATCATGATGATCATGATGATGATGATTGACAATTTTGTGACCATACTAATTGTGAAACATGTTCAGAAAATTTTCCATCAATTGAAAATGTAAGTTTAAATTTCAATTTATATTGTATTGATGAGCGTTTTTGTTCTGCTATTAGCTTTGTGTATGATGACGTTGGTGATAATTATCATGATCATGATCATGATCATCATTGTCATCATTTTCAATATTCATTAACGATGAATTCTGTTGCAAATTTCGTATCGTATCCAATGAATGGTGTTGTTGTTGATTAACAATATCATCATTATCATTATTATAATAACTTTGATCACAAGCGATTAACATTACTTGACTGATAAATGTTTCGGGAAAATCTTGGCCATTTTGTAATCCAGGTAATGTTGATCCAGTTTGATATTGTAGTTTGACTTTCATTCGCTATAAATGAATAGTAAAAGATTTTATGTTAGTTAATAAATAGAATAGATAGGTAAAATTATGCATTAAATTCATTGACGGATAATTACCTTTGGTACAGCAGCCCAAAAATGAATGTCAGTTATGGTTGATCGATTATAATTGGTGAATGTCAATAGAAAAACCGAAACCTGTTGATGTGGATTGTTGCCAGTGAAATGCAGATTGACTACAAGACCATCATCATTGAATACAAGTAATGGTGGTCGCATCTCTCGACATGGTTGAATGTCTTCATAGCAAATCTGATTAATACTTGCGAGCAATTCAGATAGATCTGTAAATTCCTTATTAGATTGTTGATTCAAAGTGATTGATTTAGTTGAAGCCATTTTGCCATTTTTATGATTAATTTTCTGCTGATCCGTAGATAGATTCTGTCGGCCAAACATATCGGCCAATTGATGAAGATTTGAATTGTCCGATGTTGATGTATGAATATGTAATTTTGTTCTAGTATTGTTCAACGTTGTCGTTGCCATTAAATCACGTAGCATTGATTCTTGTATACTACCATTATCATCCAATGAATAATCAAGATCATCAATGTTTTCAAGAGAAATTCGTTTCGGAGATGTTAATGGTGTTGTATTCAGGTCGAGTAGACGTTCTTCTTCCACTGGATTTGATCGATTATTGTCATTAATATCGTCATATGAATCATTTGTCGTTTGTAATAGTTTCGGATCGTCCAACAAAATAAAATAACGTTTACAGGAATTGATTGTCGACATTAACATGTCAGACACTTCGATCAATTGTCTTAATTCTTCGTGATCATTTTCAGTGATTTGATTAGAAAATCGATACAATCGAAAACGAATTGTTTCACAATTGCACAATAATTCACGCATAAGCTGCATATCTTCATCGGTCGTTCCTCGATACAAGATTCGTTTGCTTTCACTATCAATCTTTAAATTCGTATTCGATTGTGCAACCATTTCGTTTAATAGATGTGCACAATTACGAGCTGATTCTAATTCGGAGCCAAAATTTGCTTTGAACTGATCACGTGATTCGGCTTTGAGAGCTAAATTTTTTATCATTTGATTGGCCGCTTCCAGATTTTCAGCTCTTCCACTTTCAATTAACGATCGTAATGTTTTCACTGTCTGTTCATCATCGAATATTTCATGTTTAGGTCTTGGTTTTGGCGGTGTTGGTGGTCGATAGTTCTATATATCATATCATAAATATGAATGAATTGAGTGAAATGAATTTTCTAATTTTAAAATCACTTACCTTCAATACATGAACGGGATCTTCGTGAACTATTTTCTGTACTTTTAACATCTGATATGCTTCAAATATTTTGGGCAATTCTTTAAAATCCATACTCCATTGGAATATCAATTCAATGATACGTTGGCCAACTTTTGCTGATGTTTGATGTGCCAAATACTAACAAATAATTAAATATATTGATATTATGATTTCATTGTTAAACGTACGTAGAATACTCACTTTAGGCGAAACAATTTTGATGATTTCATTGAGAAAACGGAATTTACCCAATTCATCAGCGATTCTATAGCCACCACGTTTAGCTACTAATTCTAAAACCCGTAAGGAATGTAGTGCTTCACTTTCTTGTGGTGATTGTGCTTTATATGCAAGAAATTTCAATGTCGTATATGGGCCATTTGTTTGTGAATTTGTAACCAAACAAAGCTGATCGATTAGTTCATCTGTTATTCTTGTCAATGGATTCGTACATCGAGCTAAACAGATGTCCAATTCTGTCAATTCTAAATTTGTCGTAACACTGGTCTTTATTGTCGATGATGATTGCTGGATAGAATTTGTTTGCATTTTTATATTTATTTCATCATAATCATAATAATTATGATGTTGACAATAATTTTAATTCAAAAAATTACCATTGTTATTAACATTGATGATGCTCGAATAATTGTCCGAGGAATCGAACAAAACAAAAAAAACATCATCCGATATCCGAATGCGCAATTGATTCTGGACCTAGGAGAAAGTCATAGGGGACTCAATTAATGGTGAATTGTTTGAATTATATAGCTGTTCCATATCATCATCATTTAATTTATTATTACATGATCCAAAATTTGAGTCGTCGCAATCGTCGTCGACATCATAATCCATCATAAACTGATGATAATAGATTTAAATAAATTTCACAAGACAATAAAATTTGCAAGAAAAAAACGGTTAAAATTAATTAAAACTCCAAAATCAAAATAAATGAATTTTTTGACAACAGAATTTGAGTTGAAAACAATTTTTTTTTATTGTCGAATCCATAAAATAGCAATGCTACGACTATTTTGAAATGACTTGTCGGCATAGGTGTTTTTAGACTTTCTATTTTCGCACTGTTCTTTATACACAGCTGTTCACACGTGTTTTCGATCTGGTTTTTTTTTTGAAATAAAACCGAAAAATAAATTCTCGTAATCATGGGATTTCTATTTGGACCAGCTCCTATCCGGCGTACGATTCCATATCTTCAAAGTGGTAAACTTATCCTGAAAAATCGGGTCAAGATAATGGAAGTTCATTACAATATGTATTGGAAACGATATCGTCAAGATAAAAGTCATCTTTTGTATCCTCAACACGATGCTCATATTGGCTTAAGAGAATTCTATTTTTGGCACATTCCACAGATCCAATACATGAATCCTAATGTACAGATTGTTCGATTTTTGGAAATGACACCAAATCCATTTATTCGTTTCTGGCTACAAGATGGTAAAGATATCCTATTTGATTGTGATTCACAATCTAAAGAAGAAATCATGCAACGATTGGTCCGTACATTGGGTAAAACCGAAGAACAAATAACATTTGAAGCAAGTATTAATGTTAAACAAGTGAGCGAAGAAAATGATGCTATTTTCGGCGTGAATCGTAAACGATTCTGTATGTGTGAAGTACCCGGGCAATGTCCATGTCCATCGGTTATTAAATTGCCAAAAAATCTACGTGGAAAATTTACCAAATTTTTTACCGATGATCTTATTAAACAAGAAAAAGAAATTGTTGAAGATGGAAAAGAATTTGAAGATTATCGTCCACCAGAAATTGCTAGACAACGATTTTTTAGATCATAAAAATCATTCACCATTCATTCTTATATATTTAAACCAATCTGGTCAATATATATCATTGATTCATGTAAACATACACACACACGCAAATATATATATATATAAATGATTTTTTATTGTTATTTTAATAAAATAAAAATCATTATATCAATAAATAAACATTTTTTTAATTCGAATGAATTTTTGTCCATTTGATTGTTCAGTATACAGAATATTCTGTGCGCGCCCGTGTGTGTGTGTGTGTGTGTATGAGTGTGGGTTTGTTTGTTTGTGTATTTGATGGTGAAAATAAAAAAAAATATGGCAACAGAGAGTTTCAAAATGTTATAATAGTAGTAGATCAGATAAATTAGAATAAATATTTGAACATTGAAAATGATTCAATCAACAGGCTAATGAAAGAATTCTGGTTTTTGTTGTTGTTGTTGTTTTTAGTTTTTTTTCAGTTTTATAATCACATTCCAAAATATATTCAATTTGTAATTCAATATGAAAACAATGTCATTATCAGGTGAATGTAGAAAAAATTTTTGTATTTGATGATCACAATGTATGTACAACAGGTGTAACAAAAAAAATGAATGAATGAATGAATTATTGATAAACCGGTACCACAGTAGTAAAATCAAAATCATCCTGAAGAATGTTTTTTATTATGATTATCATCAATTGGTGCATACAATTCAACAGAAATCCATGTATATAATTTTTTAAATACTAAATCCACAATATCATAATGGATATTGTTAATGCCATCGGTTTTAAAACGTCTCCAGCCATTATATAATTTTTTAAATCTTTTCTCAATAACAAAAATAAAAATAGAAAAGAGATCAATATTCAAATGCAAATTAATATGTAATAATAATAAACCTAGTCACAACATACCTTTCAGCGTTTGGTGATGTATTTTTATGTTTTAACATTTTATATCTTGCAATATCATTTGAATAACGGCTAATTTTATAACCATAATGACGTATACGATTTGACCTAATCATGGAAAATTGAAAATGGCAAATCAACAAAAAAAAACAATATACAATAAACAATTTACATATCATCATCTTCACCACCCCAGCCCCAGAATTCATTGGAAAATCCATTAATTTTGATAAATTGTTCTTTATTCAATGCGCTGACACCACCGAATATATCTTTATAAGGTAATCTTTTTTTGTTTTTTTTTTGATTGATCGATGAATGAATGAATGAATGAAATGTAAAGGGAAAAAAATCAAAATTAATCCATTAATCCATTAATATATTCAAAAAAAACAACATCAAAAAAATGTGAACGGATTTGTTTTTTATCTGTTTTACCTATAACGAAATTTATCAATAGCAACAGACATATGTCTAGGCTGTTCCGGACAAGTATAAAGATTACGATCATCTTCAGGAATTAGGTCAACATCATGAAATATAAAACAATCATATGGATATTGTTTTGATGCTTCCAAAAATCCTACGTTCATTAATTTAGCTCGATTGAATGATTTGTTTCCCAGCTAATTAAAAGATGATGATGATTATTCACATTATTTTCATGTATATAAATGGATGAAAACAAACCTGTTCAACAATATAAACGCCATAATCGATATTTTGTCGCATGAGCATTGGATGAATATTGAGCAAAAATGTTCGTAAATGAAATTCACGATCACGATATGGAACAATGATTGCGACACGGCTATTACTATGACATTGTTTAGGTCTAAATCGGCCACCAATTTCTACTTGTGGAAACATTGTCTCAAGCTCTTCCATTGGTGGTGGATTGATTAACACTTTTAATCGGCCAACTATTATATATCAATTCAAATAAATTAAAATTTCAATTAACATATTATCATCATCATCAACGATACTGACCTAGATTTGGTGGAACCAACGGACAATTAGGCAATGTACTTGAATTGATCAATGTAATTGAATTGATGATAATTTTATCATTAATATTCGATGATGATAAACTGGATTGTTGTTTTTGTTGCATAATGATGGAATTCATTTTTTGACTATCAATGCTACCGGTTTGATTGTCTGTTGTTGATGATGATGTATTTATTTTCATTTTTGAAGCAAATAAATCATCATTGATGATTGTATGAATTTCAAATGTCTCAGATGATGATGATGATGATGATGATGATTGTGATTGTGATTGATTATTATTGGAGTTGTCGTTATTAATTTGTCCACGATAATGATAATAATTTGTAGGCATATAATTGAATGGACCAGATTTAAATTGTATCACAAATAATATTACAAATAATAGGAACAATAAAAAACGTATTGACCTGATATATTTGAATAATAAAATTAGACTAGCACTTTTGGAATGTAACATTGTAATTGTTTCATTATTATTTTTATGTTGATCTTCATCATTATTATCATCATGATCATCATCATCATTACGATGTTTGTAATTGATAACAATATCATCATCTTCTTCATCAATCACTATTAATTGTCCATTATTATTATTATTATTATTGATGATTGAATTAGAATCATTGTTGGTGATAATTGTATGGATGGAATTTCGATCAACAACATTTACTGGTACCGGTACACGATGATAACGATATGGTCGACTAAATGATTTTTTCATTTCGAATTTTTTTTTTTTTTTTATTGTCGCTATTTATTTGATAATCATCGAAAATGATGGTGAAAAAAAAAAAAATTCAAATCTCGATATTATCACATTGTGTTGTTGTTGTCGATTTGATAAATGACACAAGGCAACCAACCAATCAGCCAGCCAATCAATCAATCAATCAATCACTTTAGTTATGTGATGACGATATAAAATAAAATAAAAAATCTCCATAGAGAATCAAGTTTTAGATTAACTTTAATCAATTGATTAATACTTACAATAATCATTATGTTTAGGCACAACAACAACAAAAAAATCAACAGTTTTAATTATCATTAAAAAAATTTAATATATATTGATTTGATATATAATTTTAAACAATCAACGTGTTGATGATAACGATGTTGATGATTGCATCGTTTTTTTTTTCTTAAATTCAAAAAAAAACAGGCCAATCGATTTGTTGCAATGATTATGGGGAAATTTGAAGAGAGAGAAAAAAAATTCTTTATTTCAATAAATGATGATGATTTTGATCAAAAATTTTTTGTTTCAAAAATTTGGACATTTTCATTTTACGTCCAATTGATGACACGTTATCTGTGTGTGTGTGTGTGTGTGTGTGTGTGTGTGTGGGTGGGTGTTTGGGAGGAAAAAAAAATACAACTTTTAATTGGAATTTTAAAATTTGATGAATATCAACACATGCACGCACGCACACACGGATATCAATATTTCCACTTAAACAAATGATAATAATGATGGAATGATAATGATAATAAAAACTAAATATGAAAAAATTGATTTTCTACAAAACGAAATAAAAAACAGAAACAGAAAAAAGCAACAACAAAAAAAAAGACATAAAACAACGCAAAGATGGCCAATGAAATAAATATAAATATAAATGAATGAATGAATGGCTAATATATATTAACATATATAAATTCATTCATCGTAAACAAACTGAATGAAACAAAACAAAAATCATCATCATTCAGAACATAAAACACAAAAACAAAAACAAAAACAAAAACAACAACAACAAAAACAACGACGACGACGACGGAAAAAAATTTGCTTACAAAAAAAAAACACCCACCCATACTTGAAATGAAAAAAACAAACAAACAAACAAAAAATCACTGCCAGATTATCATTTTAACGCCAACAACAACATGATCACCATCATCATCATCATGAAGATGAAAACAATAAAAATGGTAATCATGGTCAGAAGAATGAAGAAGTAAAAAAAAAAAAAAAAAAAAAAACCTCATAAATGAATGAATGAATGAATGAACAATTCATACAACAAAATATATACAAGGCTACTAATAATAAAAAACAATATATAATAAGTAAAAACTTTTTTTTTCTTCATTTCATCCAGTAAACATGCAATGGTTTAAATGATTTAGCCGTGGATATATACACACACACAAAAAAACATCTTCATTGCACCAAATTCGGATAAAAAACACGAAAGAAAATTGAAAATGATGATAAATTTAAGCATCAACCTACGGGTTTTTTTTTGTTCATACACACACACACGCAAAGACAATGACCAATCTGATTGAAGAAAGAGAAAAAAAAATTTTTTTTCTTTTATCATTGCCAAAAACACCCACCAACCAATTTTTTTTTATTTCAATGTTTTTTCCACCATGTTTGTGTGTGTGTGTGTGTGTGTGTGTGTTGAAATGAAAGATTAATGAATAACAGCAACAACAAAGAAAAAGATCTGGAAGGGCAGAGTTCAAAATCAAAATTCAATCAGATCGATATATATTTATGTTTATTATGGTGGTAGCAGCAGCAGCAAAAAAAATGATAAATGATTAAAAAATAAATAAAAAAAAACAGGTCGTACACAAGTGAGCAAACAAACAAACAAAAAAACGATTAAAGAGTCAAGAGGATGAAGAAAACAAAAAAATTTCTTTCTCTAAGATTCTAAAATTGTGAGAAAAAAAAACATAACAAGGTAGACAACAAAAAACATTCGATCGAAACCAATGATTCTAATCTATCCATAGATAACAACAACAACAACAACAGCATCAATTGATGATGATTGTAATGATGATCATCACTTTATAATACCCAGTAATAATAAGTAGTCTGCTTGTCAAGAAAAAAAAATAGCATCACTACTCACAATATGATCGATATTTTTCCAATCATCATCATCATCATTATCTTGTCTATCATCATGATGATGATGATGATGATAATGGAATGACCAATCTTATTTTTGGTTATAAAATAAAATATATAAATGATGATGTTGATGATCTATTTTTTTTTCTTTGAGAAAAAAAAATATCAATACATTTCATCATCATCATCATCATCATCATTGAACACATAGGTCAAACTCTTCTTTCTTTTTTTCTTTCTTTTATAATTGCATTTTAGCCAAAGAATGAAAAACGATGAAATTCATTCTCATTTTTCCTCGCACCTCACCACCATCAAAACTAAAAATCTTTAAAACGAATTTTTTTTTCTTCTTTTGAACATCGATGAATGATGATGATGATGATGATAATAATAATATGGTACTATATCGATGATGATTATTGTTATTTTTTTCAAATAAAAACTCAAATGATTGACTCGTTCGATGATGATGACAAACAATAATCATTTTTTTCTCATCTTTATATAAAATTTTTATACTTTGCAAGTATTTTCTTTTTATTTTCTCGCTAGAAAGAAATTCAAAATCGATTGTTCAATCGATTTTGATTGACTTTGTGTGTGTGTATTGTATCCAATTTTTTTTGTTTGTTTGTTATATTTCGATTCAATCGATCATTGATATGAATGAGAAAATAAAATGAATGAATGAATGAATGGATGAATTTTTTTTTTCTTCACATGAAAAATTCTTTTTGCACATATTTCGTCGATAATGATGACAATAATGTCAATCTAAACAGGGGGGAAAAAAATAACTTTTCAATTCAGGATGGCAATCGATATTTTTTTTTTTTTTTTTTCTCACAATCACTGTGTGTGTGTGTCGAAATAGTCATCATTATTGGAGAATTATAACGATTCTTTTTTATTAAATTTCAGGATTAGAATTGAAAACACCTGTAAACATCCGATCTGATTTATCATGTAATTTCAATGATTAATGAATATAAAAAGATTGTAATGTTTATTGTCCTTATACAACAACAACAACAACAACAACAACGACAATAACAACAATGACAACAGGAAAAGACCTGATCAATAAATCAATCAATCATTCAAATTTGATGACCTCGATTTGTTGTTGTTGTTGTTGTTGTTGTCGGTGGTAAATAATACAAATAATTTTCATACACATACAAATATGATGAATATGTTTCAAATGATTATTTGACACCAGATTTGAATATGTTAATCATATATTGATCCAAAAACAATCATCTATCACGGCCTTATTACACAAGGTAAACAACAACAACAACCACACAGAAAAAAAGAACATGGTGCAAAAAACGCAATTATAGTTTTTGGGTGCAAAAAAAAACAATATCGATTATTTTTTGCACAAACAACAACACAGATCTATTAGTGCAAATCGATACATAATAATGATTGTCATATGAATACAACAAAACAAAACAAAACAAAAAACAAAAAACAAATTATCAACTTATTATCTCTAGTGAAGAGAAGAAAAAAATTCCAGAATAAAATTCCGTAATTTTATTCCATACATACACCACCGCCTACAATGAATAATTCACAATCACACAAAAAAAATCAGCATAGATTGAAAAGATTAAACATCAGCAAAAAAAAAAAAAAGTCAAGAATGGTTGAATGGAAAAAAAACAACAACAAAAAAAACCACAAACTCAAAACACGAATATGAACAAGAATATGAAAACAAAAGAAAAAGTAGAACCAGTAGAGAATGTGGAAAACATTGAATTTTTCGTGCAAAACAAAACAAAAAAAAAATCATTTTCAACACACACACACACACACACACAACAAACAAAAAAACAAAATGAAAATGAAACTAAGAAATTGTACAATTTGAACCTGGTAAATGTAATATTTTTCATTCTCATTTTTTTTATTATTTGTTTTTTTTCTGTTTTGATTCTCATGTTTTTTTTATCTTTTTTTTTGGTGCTTCATTCGTATTTGTTTTTTTGTTCTGTTCTGTTTTTTTTTTTTGTTTGATTTTCGTTACCGTGGTCGTTCCATAAAATGTGTTAGATTCTTACCGGGAGTATAATATATATATGTAACTATGTGTATGTGTGTTTGCTGGTTTTACCGCTTTCCGTAGATACATATGGCCAAAACAACAACATAATTTGGATTTTATCGTTTCGTTTTAGTTTTGGGTGATATGAAAAAAACGAAACAACCTGACGTTTACGTTGGTGAAAAAAAAAAATAAAAAAAAAAAAAAAAAAAAGAAAATTTTTAGACTTTTTGATTGCATTTGATATTTGATTCTGGAAACACTTACGAATCATACACATTCACATACATCAAACCAACCAACCAACCACCCACGAAATAAAAAAAAACATAATCATCTAAATGAGATTTTTCTTCGCTGTATATTTTCTTTCTTTCTTACGTTTTTTTTTTTGTTTTGTTTTGTTTCATCTTTGATGTTGTTGTTGTTGTTGTTAAAAAAAATGAATCTGAAACAATTTTTTTTTCAAATACATTTTTCTGGTTCTTTGACTTTCTTTCTGAATTTTTTTTTGTTGTTGTTGTTGCTGATTATGTAGTTGTCGTTGTTGTTGTTGTTTTTTTTTTTCTGGATTTACTATTCGTGTGATTTCA